TTTGATCATTGTGTCTTTCAGAAGTGTTGATCCATTATTATTTTAGAGAACTACACACAAACTTGTTTTATTTAAGCATGTTAATGTGGACAGTAAACATTTCTTTAATGGAGGCACTTGTTTAAGTTGACTAGATTGTAGTGAGTTAACTTAAAAACTCAGTGGTGAATAGAAAAGTCATACCTTAAACGGCGTAGTGTAAAACCTCGACATTCATTTGATCTGTTAATAGTAGACCAATATTTGGTTATGAGCCCTGTGTTTGAAGTTCCATTTTGCTATGAAATGTCTAGGTGGAACTAAAACTTTAAATATTTATAGAATATATAGGTGGTCTTTTTTGAGTTCAGTCTTGGAATTCTAGAATTTCTGTCTTCCAGAGTTGCTCACATGCTTGATAGCTTTTATGTATGTGTGACTTGTTTCCAAGTTTTCAGGACTCATACAATTTTGGTCATGTATGTGTGAGGGATCTTCAGAAAGTTTATGAAAAATAGATGTTATGAAAAAACCATGCATGAATTAAAAAATATTTTTGCTAGAAAAATTTTCTGCTTTTATTCCATTTCCATGAATATTTCAAACTTTCCTCTTAGACTTTCTTATGCTTACAGTTTGTTAGTTTCATGCCAACTGTTTTGACCTAACTGATAGGGACAGAAGTGTGTGTATGTGTGTATGAAACAGTGTATTTCATAGATGAAAAGACTGCCCCCAGGATTTATTGGTTGTGTGGAGGACTCGTCAGTGACACAGTGGTAATGGGAAGCTCTGATGCTGGTCTCACAGAACAGCTCCCAGGTGTCTGTTGAGGCCCCCTTGTACATGGAAGGTGTGCTTGTACGTGCCTGTGATCCTTACTGGCTGAGGGTCGGTGTATAGGGGTGTCAAGACCCTGTCTGGGATTCTTGCCTCCCCTTTTCCTTCATGTATTTCCCGCTGAAGAAAGACATTTTAAAAGTGCATTCATTGGTTGACTACTTAACCAAGTGCTAGATATTAAGTTTGCTAATTTATGTGCATATTGTACAATTCATTTGATTGAAATAATTTTCAACCTATTTATATTTTACAAATGAAGCATTAGAGAATTGGGAATCATGTCCAAGGTCAGATACCAATAGCAAAACAGGAATTAAACCAAGTTTGTCTTGTAGCAAGTGTTTTTAACTACTGTATCTTTTATTCTTCTCTTTCATCCTTATTCCTCACTGCTCCATGTATGGATAATTCTCTGTGTATATAAAGGTTTTTTTTTTTTTTTAATAAATGGGAGCAGTGAATTTAATTACTTGAATTAAACAAAGCCAGTCATTAATTTTAGATACCTTCAGAGCAAATACAGAGATTTATTTGGATCATGCAGAGTTAAATTTTATATTTTTAGGACCAGCAGTTAGCGTAATGGCTGTTGTCGCTGAACTCCCATGTAGCCGGGCGCGTGTGCGTGTGTGCCCAAGATCCCAAGAGGAGAATGGAGGAGAAGGGATTGCGGCGTGGCCATCCCCCCTGGGGGGTGATTTCTCGCTTTCTGTCTCTCTGTCTCTGTCTGTCTGTCTGGCGAGCGCACCCGCCCTGTAGCAAAAACTTCTCCAAAAATAAAGTTTTTCTTGGGAACCAGCAGTTAGCGTAATGGCTATGTCGCTGGACTCCCACGTAGTCGACCGCAGTTCGCGTCCCGGACCCGGTGGCTTAAAACCCACGCCGGGCGCGTGTGCGTGTGTGCCCAAGATCCCAAGAGGAGAATGGAGGAGAAGGGATTGCGGCGTGGCCATCCCCCCTGGGGGGGGATTTCTCGCTTTCTGTCTCTCTGTCTCTCTCTCTCTGTCTGGCGAGCGCACGCGCCCTATAGTGAAAAACCTCTCAAAAAAAAAAAAAAAGTTTTTCTTGAAATTTTCTTCTGCACAAATAGCTAGTGCCTATATTAACCAGTGGTGCAAGAGACACTTAATTGTAGCATCTCTTGGAATTGGATTACTGAGTGGTGATTAATTTTTTACAAAAAGAATTGTTGAATTATTTTTAAAGATGTTTTGCCACAGGGCATGTGTGACAGGGAAAATGAGAAATCACCCTTGGGTGGGGAGTGGTGGCTACACCACAATCTCTTCTCTTCTTGGGATCTTTAGAACTCACACACATGCACCCAGCATGATTTTTAAGCCACCAGGTCCAGGACCCAAACTGTGATCGGCCATGTGGGAGTCCATCAATGTAACTACGACACTATCTGCTGGCCCGTTTTTTATTTTATTTTATTTTATTTTTTAAATAATTAGACTAGAGAGAGACAGAAAGTAAGAGAGCGAAAGTGAGAGAGCAAGCTGCCAGGTCTAGGACTCAAACTGGAGTCTAGCACCTCAGCCACCGAGCCACCTGTTAGCTCGTTAAGTTAATGTTGGTGGGTAAAGTGGCTGGATCCTACATGGCTGACTGTGGGTCAAGTACTAGCCTGAAAAACACATTGGGCATGTGTGCATGCTTGGGTGCCAAAAAGTTCTTGAGAGGATAATGAAGGAGAAGGGGGTTGCAGTACCCTCCCCCTTGGGGTACTGGAGCAGTGGGGTATAAACTTGATAGTATTTGAGCAAATACTGTGATTGGAAGAGCAAGCAGGGTTTTTCTTTGTTGAGTATGTTTTTTACTTGCAGAGCAACACATGAGCTCTGAAACTGAAGTTCCCACAAGTGAATAAAACTGTGTTATGTTTTGCTACTGAGACAATATGTAAGAAGATGGCCTGTCATGTCAGTAATGCATCTGAAGACAGGGAAAATTGCCAAATGTTGTGGGATATATCAAAGAAATATGGAAGCAACTAGAGGCAGTGGTGTCGCCGATTCATGCACTATGCTGGACTGTGAAGGCATTGAGTCATAGTTTAATTGACAGTGTTCTTTCATACTCTTACATAAAATAATCTTGCTGCTGATACTGTTCTTGGTTCAAAAGGTATAGTTTATTTTTAATTTATTTTTTAAAGTATGATCAAAGAAGAAACATAATTAAGTGGGGTAAAGATAGATTTGTTTGCCAAAAGTCTTATTAAATTTAGAATCGACATTGGTTGAAATAAAGGATTCTCTTCTGTTGTACACTGTCAGTTTGTTGAACTTACTGTTCTAACAGATGGCATTAGCTAAAAATAACAAGGCAGTCTATGGAAGATTAGGTTAGACTAATCATGAAAAAGCGCCAGAATGGTGAAGTCATAAATGATGACTTCAGGTTTTTATTCTGCTTCAAATCCATAGATAAGATCTTGAACTTTTTATTTAACTGAATGAGCTGTGACTTCAGCATTTAAAGGCATACTGTGCTTTGTCTGGGTGGCAAACTGAGGATGGCTTTATATCAGTGACTGCAGCAACCAGAGTGAATTGGATAGGAGACCTGGACAGTGTTTGGGCAGCCCTGTGCTTGCTCTGGACACTTGTATCCTTAGTGAATGCGCACGGTCACATTCCTGTGATGACCAGGTTTCGTATTGTTGGATGCCTTCTCTTGAGCTACCTGAGCTTGGTTTTCCTCTCTTTGGTTCATTGATCAGTCTGTTGTCCTTTACCTTCTGTCTTCCATTTATCTACTGGCTTTTCTATGGTGCGGTTGCTACTCTTCTGTCCCAGTGCTTTTGTGAATGAATTGCTCTTGTGCTTTTTTAAAAAGGACATTTAGGGAACCAGCAGTTAGCGTAATGGCTATGTCGCTGGACTCCCACGTAGTCGACCGCGATTCGCGTCCCGGACCCGGTGGCTTAAAACTCACGCTGGGCGCATGTGCGTGCGTGCCCAAGATCCCAAGAGGAGAATGGAGGAGAAGGGATTGCGGCGTGACCATCCCCCCTGAGGGGTGATTTCTCGCTTTCTGTCTCTATGTCTCTCTCTGTCTGTCTGGTGAGTGCACGCGCCTTACAGTGAAAACCTCTCAAAAAAAAAAAAGGACATTTAATGGGGTGGCGGTAGATTTATGCTGTTAGTCCTTTGGAACCAAGAGCTTGCTTTTAGCTTTTTTTTCCTTTGTCTGTCTGTCTGTCTGTCTCTCTCTGTCTCTGTCTCTCTTGTATGCTCTCCTAAGAAAGAGTCGGACAGAAAGTGAGAAAGCACCCATGGGTATGGGTATGCACATGCATGCACCTGGCACGTTTTTCAAGCCACCAGGCTTGGGACTTCACCTGGCCCTGAACATTTTGAAAGAAATGGTCTGGCTCAGTGGGCTTAATGGTTAAGGGAACTGGATCACACATGCCTGACCATGGTTTGACTTTCGGCCCTAATTGCTTGAAAACCATACGCGGCATGTGCGTGTGCATTCATGTGTGCCCCAGGTGCTGCCAGGATAACGAAATGGAGGATTGGGGGCCAGCAGGTGGCATAGTGGTTATATCACTGGACTCAAACATGACCTACTGCAGTTTGAGTCCCGGATGTAAAATCATGCCAGGTGCATGTGTGTGTCCCCCCAAGTCTCAGCAGAAGAAGGGATTGAGGCATGGCCATGCCCCTAGAGGGTGATTTCTCACATGCTCTCTCACTATCTCTGTCTCTCAGGGAGCACAGGTTGCCCTAAAGCAAAAAAACCTGTTTTTTAAAATGTCGAAGTAAAGATTGAAGCATGACCATGCCTCATGGGGACTTGCTCTCTCCTCTCTTTCTGCATCTCTCCCTCTCTGTGGCAAGTGTACATGCCCACCCTCTGGCGATTAAAAGCATTTATTCAGATAAGTTTTGTTGTGCCACTTTTGTGAAGCCATGTGATCATGATATTCTGTATCAGGAATATCTTGTTTTCTCAGTACATCTCTGCATTATATTTGTATTTGACACGTTTGATGATGTATATAGTTTGATTTTCTCACAAAATTTTCTTAAAGTATAATTTCCTAATTGTGAAATGAAGACATTTTTTGTTTTGTGCGTTTTTTTTGTTTTGCTTTTTATGTCATGGAGTTTAAGATTTAAACTACTCTGAATGAACCTTAAATGTGTTCTTTGTGAATATAGGTATATGACTGATGGGATGTTACTCCGCGAAGCTATGAATGACCCCCTCCTGGAGCGGTATGGTGTAATAATCCTTGATGAGGCTCATGAAAGGACACTGGCTACAGACATCCTCATGGGCGTTCTGAAGGAGGTTGTAAGACAGAGATCAGATTTAAAGGTAAAATCATTTTCTTTTACACGTCTAGTACATTTTTTTCAAGCGTGTGTCCATGAAAATGGAGAACACATGCTGATCACTGATGAGCTATAAAGAAGTCACCTGGGACAGAAGCAAGGCGCAAGTGCTCAGAGCGCTTGTGTTTCCGTTTCCTACCCAGTAATACTTCACTATGTCGTCATTAAGAAATGTAATTTTAAGTAAAATTTTCTTGTATGGTCCAATAACGTATGTATTTTTAAACTGTGCTGTTTACCCTACCCTTCATTGAGCACAGAGTCTTCCTGTTTAATGATCAGTCAGATGGCACAGCAGGAAAACATGACACTAAGGCAGCCCCACGTGGACACCGCCGTAGTTCCAATCCATAGCCTTGTAGAGACAAGTATGCCAGGCATGCTCTTGTCCTTGATCCAGGGTGGTCAAAGACTGGGGTTGATCACGTCATCAGAACCTTGTTGGAGTCCTGCCTCTCTGTCACTGTTATAGAAATAAACTAAAATTGTAAAAAATCTTCGTCCCTTAGGTCCATGTCCTTATTCTAACAGAATCATCCCCCTGTACTGTCTATACACAGCCAGGACAGCCCGCTCCTCAGAGATGCATTGGCTCGCCCTGGTGCCTTGCTTTTCCCTCCTCCTGCATCATTTGTACCTTGGCCAGTGTTCACTAAGTGCCTAAAACTGACCATAGTTCCTGACATGTTTGCTCCACAACATTTATGAAGTTACCGTTTTTGCTTTGTTGCATATGTGTTGCATGTTTATTGGAACATAGACTCATCCCTTGGTGGTGTGTGTTACAGAAGGATTTTATACTGGTCAGAATCTTGAGTCTTAAACAAATTGAGGTCTGAGTATGTTTTTGCTTATAAAAATTAGTTAAGCTATTGAATATACTAAAGAACTGTATGAGCACTGTCACTGATATGACGTAATGAGCCATCGAGGTTTTAGGGAGATACTCGATTTGAAGTAGAGATTAATAACTAGTAGGAGATGTTTTAGGAGGGAGCTCTCTGTTTAAATTTTCCCAAGTCATAGAAGTCATTTACGTGGAGGGAGGGTGACTGCACAGTTGTGGTCCTGCACCTGCATAACCTTCTGTAGCTGTAACTTTACATAGCAGTATAAGAGACTTACTCACCTCAGGAATTTTTCAGAGAAGTTTCTCATCAGAGATGGTTTGTAAGAAGGAAACCCACTTACAGATTGTCTATTGATGCATTTTCTTGTTCCTTATGTCCAAAGGTTTATTTTAATAATGTAGCAGTAATCGTACTGTATACTAATACTGTCTTTTACCAATCCTTTCACATAGATAAATTTGTCAAGTTCAGTTTTTAAAGTATTGTTTCTTCGGGTTATATTGCAGTTTACTTATTTATTGAATGCTAGGTTTATTTATAAAGTTTTGTACATGTAAATAACTGAACGCAACCTTTCTGTATTTGATGATGGTCATTTGCTTCTTTATAGCCAAGAGAGGGCGCAGGATAGAATAGTAAATATTACTGTGCTCTACTTTTAAAAAAAAATGTAAAAGACCATGAGGACAAATTTAAGTAATTCTTTGTTTTCTTTCAGGTTATAGTTATGAGCGCTACCCTAGATGCAGGAAAATTCCAGATTTACTTTGACAACTGTCCTCTTTTAACTATTCCTGGGCGTACACATCCTGTCGAGATCTTTTATACACCAGAGCCAGAGAGAGATTATCTTGAAGCAGCAATTCGAACAGTGATCCAAATTCATATGTGTGAAGAGGAGGAGGGAGACCTTCTGCTATTCTTAACTGGTCAAGAGGTATCATTGTTTGCTTCCTTATTTAGTCTTTGATAAGTCATTTCTGTTGCTCGGCAAGTTTAAATTGAGTAGCTTGATGTATATAGTCTCTTGTCCCTGTGTTTAAAGTTTTCTTCAACCTGATTGTCTTAATATCTAAAATGCACAGGCTGTTTTATATATATACTCTTAGAATTTACCTCAGTTTCGGATACAAATTTTATTCTCAGGTGTTGCATTTTCTAAATTCGTTTCCAACAGGGCATTCATAGATGTTGGGTGGTCACCTAAGGTTACTAGAGGTGTTTGGATAAAACAGAGCTTTAGACTACCTTTCAAAAGGGTTTCTTAGAACTTTTCTTCTGCTCTAATCGGCTTTGTGAATTTTCTAGAATGTGTTTATGCAGCTTATGTATCTGCAGATCACTAGAAAACTTGCAGATTCTAATTCATTGGGTCATGGTAAGGCCTAAAAGTCTACATTTCTAAGAAGCATGTGGGTCATGTTAATGCTTCTGAAGAATGGAGTGATAAGATTTTAGAGCGTGCTCGCCTTAGTCATGTTCTACAGTGCTGGAAATACTCTCTATCTGCTGTTCAGTGTGGTAGCCACTAGCAACATCAGGCTTTGAATACTGAAGTGTGATTAGTCTGAGGGGGCTAAATCTTTCATTTTTAGTGTACATGTGCTACATGTGCTAACTTACTTGTTGGCTGTGTATGACCTGCTAGTTACAAGTTGCTTTTCCATTTTTAAAGGACTGTGAACTTAAATAAAAAAGCTTATGCAGCATAGATGGTGTATGGGTACATAGCCTAGAATTTTTTGGCACTCTACAGTAACAGGTCTGATTCTAGCTCTGAACACGTTTCCACGCGTGAACAGTGGATTGTCTGCCTGAGGAAAGAGAAGTTGTTAAAGCAAAGATTTCTATTTTTGGCACATTTGCCAAAGGGCAGGTTTCTGCCAGAGAGGAACAGAGTGAGAAGGAGAGGGAAAGTGGGAAAGCACCCTGCATGGGGAATGGTCACGCTGCGATCCCTTGTCCATGTCTCCCTTTTGGGATTTTTGACATTCATTTACACGTGCCTTGCATCTTTTTCAAGCCACTGGGCCTGGGACTGAAATCACACAGTGGCCTATGTGGGATTCAGCCACCTTCACCACTACGGCACCAGCAGGCCTCAAAACAGATTGTTCTATTCTACACTTACTGAAAAGGCAAAATTGGTAAAATGCAGAACTCTGAATCTTTAACAAGCTCCTCAGGCTATTTGTATATTTCCTTCTGTTTAAGGGTCATAACTTTGGAGGAATTTTTTAGCCAGTGTGATGATAGTACACTTATGACCCCTTAAATAGTTGTGGGAAGTTGCCATAGTTTCTTTCACTGTCAAAGATCTGTTTTTAGGTTTTTGCCATAGGGCATATGCACTCACAGAGACAGAGAGGGAAAGTAAGAAATCACCCCCAGGGGAAAGGCTATCACACAATCCCTTCTTCATTCTCGTCTTGGGATTTAGGGGCATGCACATGTGCTCATTACTAAGGGTGCATGTGTTTGCCAGAGAGACAGGAAGTGAGACTCAACCCCTCACACCCTGGGGCGGGGGCTTGGCCATGCTGCCATCCCTTCTCTTCTGTTCTCCTTTGGGATCTTGGGCAGGCACGCACACACAATGCTTGGTATGAATTTCAAGCTACTGGGTCCAGGCCTTGATCGGCAGTTGGCCATGTGGGAGTATAGTACCTTAACCACTGTGCTAACTGCTCCTCCCACTCCCTTGCATTTTAAGTCACTGTGTCCAGGTTTTGAGCACTTACCAGCCATGTAGGCATCTAGCACCCTAAAACCCCTTTAAGGTCTGCTGTTTGATCACCTTCCACTAGAATGTAAACTTTTGGGGGAGGCTGAAGGGGGAGATTTTTGCTGTAAGGCGTGTGTGCTAGCCAGAGAGACAGAAAATGGGAAATCACGCGCATACATACGCACATGCACACCCGGGAGTGGGGGCGTGGAGGACCACATTGCAATTCCTTCTCCATTCTCCTCTTAGGATTTTGAGCATGCATGCACACGTGGCTGGCATGAGTTTCACGTCCCTAGATCCTAATTCAGGCTGCAGTCAGCCACGTGGGCGTCCAGCACCTTAACTGCATATCACCTGCTAGCCTCATAGAACGTAAACACTTATTTAGGCTCAGGTTCTGAACAGGTTTGCTTGCTGTATAATATTTGAGCAAATGCTTTTGAATTAAGAACTATAAATGTTGAGTAATTTTTTTTTAATCCCTGGATTTCTTCAGGATGATTCTTAACGGTATCTGGCTTACCGGGAAGGATGGGAAGGGTCTGTTTGAGACTGTCAGCGGTGCTTGTCTTTCTGCGTGTGTCACTCACATGAAAGAAAGAAACATGACTTTTTTTGACCTGAGATTGGGGCCATCCTTTTGTATCATTTTTTTGTTTTGTTTTGAGAAAATAATTTGTTGATGAGGAGCGTTTCTTACTGGGTCACCCACTGGACAGGCTGCCTAATATTTAGCAGGCTCTTTGACATACTTCCTGATTTAATCAATGTTTCAATAAAATTCAGAATACATGACCATCGTGTGCCTCCCCTCCGACCCTCCATTTTTAAGTCCCTTGCCGCTCCGGAGCTGCTATCTTTCTCCCAGAGTTCATTATGTCTTCTCTTTTAACTTTGATTTAAATGCAGATGTATCGTAATAGTTTGGCAGGGAAATTTTTAAAGCTGCTTTAAGATATTTGGGTTAGCCTAGTTCTTAAATATCTGTTGATACTGTAAAGGTGTTTGTTCTCATTAGGCACAATGAAGCAAATCTTCCATATAATTGCATTAGTGATACGTGACATTAAAGCGTAATTGGCTTATTTAAAATATCTAGCACATCAATTTCTTTTAGATTGTGAAAATTGAAAAGGTCATGAGTGCAGTTAAATATTCCTGGGTGAGAAATTTCAATTTTAGTACAATTTGTTGAGAATTAATTAGGAAATCTGACTCTAAGGAAGAGGATATAGAATACAAATAGGGCAGTTACATATTCATTTAAATAAAGAAATCAAAGTTCCTTGATTGTTTAGGAAATCCTCTCTGAAATTTGCTAAATTAGTTTTGGTTACTGTATTTTAGTAAGAGTATCTGAGAAATGCAAGCACATTATGTACATAAAATAACTGCATAAAAGTTAGTTTCTGATAAATATCTAAAATTTTTAGTATTTTATTTTCAAACTTGAAATTTTATTTTATAGGAAATTGATGAAGCCTGTAAGAGAATAAAGCGTGAAGTTGATGATTTGGGCCCCGAAGTCGGTGACATTAAAATCATTCCATTATACTCCACTCTTCCACCTCAGCAGCAGCAGCGTATTTTTGAGCCTCCGCCTCCAAAAAAACAGAATGGTGCAATTGGAAGAAAGGTGACACTAGAAATAGTCTTTGTAAACATTTCTGAAAGAATTGTTTGGGAGATACCAAACTGTGTGCTTATATAAGGCTGAATTGTGGACAGTCGAGATTGGGGTTATATGCAAAAACTAATTTCCATTTCCAAAGTAAATAGTACAAACATGTCTTGAGGTATAGTTCTGCATGTCTTTTGGCACTAGGGTAAGAACATGTACTGGTTTCTCAAATCTCTCGCTACTTGGTCCCTCCACAGCAAATGGAAGATCGGTTAGGGCCGGTAAGAAAGGGGGATCAGTGGCTCACACCTGTTTTCCCAGCTACTCAGCAGGCTGACGCAGGAGCATCCAGAGTTGGAGGGCAGCTTAGGCAGCATACCTAGAGCCCCCAGTCTCTGAAAGACAAAGAAAGAGGGCAGATGGCCAAGTGGTCATGTATTTTTAATGCTGGTCAGGCCAGCTCTGTGGACTCAGATGGGGATGCCAGCTGAAACCCTGAAACAGCTGAAATGTGCTCCAGCCAAACACTAGCAGACAAGATGCACAAGGGACTGTCAGGCCCAAGGCTTGGTAGACCACTTAGAAGCCAAAGGACTGGTGGGATTGTGGGGACGGGGAAGGGTGGGTGAGAATTAAGGTGCATACAGGTTATGTGAGGGAAAGTGAGTGGGTACTGGAGCAGCGAGAACCACATTCAGGTGCTGATTCCTATTTTATTAAAATAATGCTGCAACTTTCATGATGTCGTGTTTCTATTTTAGAAGTGAAGAATGGAGGGCTAAAGCTTGATTGTGCTGTCACTAATTACACAGTTACGGTGCCAGTTGCTAGAATGGAGTTTTCATTCAAAAGTGCTCCCTGTTACTGATTATGATCACAGTTAATTTAAGATTACATAGGAACAGTGAAGAGATTTATTGTCTGCTTCTAATTGTGAAAAACAAAACACAATCAGATTCAATTTTTGTTAAAATTGTTTGTTCTGATAGAAGGATAGAAGCTATCATAGGATAGATTTAAATAAAAATATTGAGGCTTTTTGAACAAAGAATAATAACAAATTTTAAATTCTATGCAGTTGTAATTCTGTACAACTGTATTTGAGTACCTTCTGTAAATTAGTGCCTTTTTATCTTCTCATTCTATTAGTTTATATAGAGTCAGTTTTGTAAGCTGATTGTGGTGGTACAAATGGAACAGCAACTTAGTATTAAAGTTGTAAAGTGTAGGCTATATTAAAGGTTAAGTTTTATGGGCATGTGAGTACTTAATGACTGCTTTTCGCAGGATCTCCCCATTACAGAGTCTTCCTGTCTTAGCCTCCCACCTTGGAGGACAGGCATGTACAACTTCGCCCTGCCTGTTTACCTTGGCCTGGGAACTCACCCTGGGCCTCCTGTGTAGTCAGCGTCAGCCTCCCTGATGTACCAGAAGCCATCACAGCATAGCCCATATGCATACTTCAGTTAGCATTACCTTTACAAATACTTACTGGGTTCTTTTTAGGTCCGCTTGTTAAGGGCACTAATGGTGAACTATTTCAAGTTTTTAACCATTAGAATGGTTGACAACACAATACATGTGTTAATATAAGGGTAGATTGGAAGTTTATTCAGGTATTTGACTACAGTAGCCTTTTGCATACATTAAGTTTACCCCTTGGTAAATCATTTCTGTGCCTCTTTTGACTATGACTTCAGATTTTTTTTTTTTATTGCATTGGCGTTAGTAAAAATCCAGCAATTTTTCTTTGATTTAAAATACTTAGTTTTTGGCCCAGGCACAGTGGTATGAGCTACGAAGACCCTCTGCTTCGCAGACTGAGAACAGATAGGAGACCTGGGTTTGAGTCCTTGTGCAGTCTAAAGGCCAGGGGCAGTGACTTGAAACTGTAATCCCAGAAATTCTTGGAGATAGAGGCAGGAGGATCATGATGTGGTGAGGCCTTGTCTTTGGACTAACATATAAAATGAAATCTTTTCTTTTAATTAATCTTGTTCATACAAATAACTACTTTTTCTGTAGTTTATTCTACAGCTTACTATTATGACTTGGCCTACATTGCTCAGTAAAAAAGAACTTGGCCCTTTAGAGATGGTTCTGTAGTTGTAAAGATAGGCTCAATAATCTGTGATCTGAAGATGGTTTACTGTGGTACCTGAGACATTTAAAAGCAAGCAAGTTAATGTCATTTAATTAGAGAATCCCCATAGACTTCCCTGGGGAATAAAAATGTCAACTAATTTAACCTAAAGGCATTATTACGTCCAGATAGTATTGAAATAAGGTAACCCAACTACTCTTGAGTTCTCTTTTGAAGAGGAATTACTGAACTAAGCCAAGGTGGGTCCCATTAGGAGGAGGATGGACACTGAGGAAAAGGAGATTCTTTTGGTGCTTGTTCCAAACTTGTTACTGTAGGACCTATTCTATATTTTGGATTATTTGCCAGAAATAGTGAGGTTTAAATAGTCTTTAAGGTTTTTGGAATGCTTATTCTGAAGTGTGTCTAGAAAGCTTGTAATGGTTGATTTTTACTAGTAATATGCATGTTGACAATTCAGGATTGCCTTGTCTCCTGATTGGTTCCTAATAGTGCTGCATTTACATCTAGAACAAGCTTAGGATTTGTCTTACTCAGTACTGGGTTCCAAGGCAACTTTTACAACATCTTCTTTTTTAATGAACTCATTGCAATTGTAGCAGTGATAACTATCACACTCCACTCATTGGGCTAGATATAGATACTCTTACACTGTTAAGCAAAAATCTTGCCTCTCATACAGCACTACTGCCTTGCACTTGGGAGTTTACAGGCCAGCCAGTAGGCTAAAGTTTGTCTGTTCTTTTGTGTTATGTGTAGGTATACGTTGTATTTCTTCTTTTGTTTTTCCAGCTCCAGTGATAGTCGAAGAAATATTTCTATGTTGGATTTGTTAACATGAGTTTTTTCCCTTTTATCCGGGATAAACCTCACCATTTCACAATACTACCCTTGTTACTATGGTGTGCTGGATACTTCACTAATAAATCAGTATAGAATGTTCTGTATTGAAAATTTATTGCCTTAAGGCTTTTTATTCATTTATTTTTAGTCCTTGGGAAAAGCCCCCAAGATCATAAGGATTAATTTTGCATTTATATTTTGGGAGTTGACTTTTGACTGGCAGTGGACACATTTAATCATGACATGGGGATTCTTAAACACTTGAAGAATCTTAAATTTTAGGGACCAGCAGTTAGCGTAATGGCTATGTTGCTGGACTCCCATGTAGTCGACCGTGGTTCACGTCCCAGACCCGGTGGCTTAAAACTCAGCCGTGTGTGTGCGTGCCCAAGATCCCTGGAGAAGGGATTGTGGTGTGGCCATCCTCCCTGGGGGAGGATGATTTCTTGCCTGATGTCTCTCTGTCTCTCTCTCTTGTCTGTCTGGCGAGCACACACACCCTATAGCTAAAACCTCTCCAAAAAAAAAAATCTTAAATTTTAAATAATTGTAAAGAGTTGATTCACATCAAGAAATTTTACCATATTCACTTTGTATTCTATTGTAGAAGGGATATGTTATATGAACTTTTTGCTAGTACTGTTTCCTTTTCTCTTCTGAGCAGATCTTGCTTTGATGGACTATCTTAAATGCCATATTCTCAGTAAGGGCTTTTCTTGTCTGTGCTGTGGAAGTGAACCCTTGAATCTCACAGTGCATCTTTGGTGTCAGTATACTTTCTGTCCATGTCTGTTATTTTACAAACTGTAAAAGCTGTAAGAGCAGACAATATGTGATTCATTTTCTTTGTCCACTTCTTGCATATACGGGCATCTTCAACTCAGTGTTAGTAATCTATTCCTGAAAGTAAGATATCCTAGGCAAAAATACCGTTGAGGAATACCTGTTTCCCATTGTGTAAAAGGAAAAAATTATATATAGCATAATATTTCAAAATCTTTAACCAGTTTCCTAAAACACGTTTAAAATGCAGTAACGGGTAGGCATAGAAAAACAAGCTATCATATTAGTTGTTACTGTTTTAGACCTCATTTCTTGCCAATAAAACATGTATTGTTGCTTTGTGTGTAGTAACATACCGCATTCCTCTGAGACTGTACACTTTCCAAAACTACATTTTATTCTGACAGTCTGCCAGTTCTTATTGGATTGTAACTTGAGCTTTTTCTCTGTGTACCTTTTTATTTTAAATGCTGAGTTTTGGTGCTATAAATAGGAAGTTTTCCTTTGTAGATATTTTCCAAAAACATTGAAAGATATGCTTGTTTTATGACGTTTGAATGTGGGTTAAAGAGTGTTCCGTCTGAGACATCCTGTAACCTGCTTGTGTTGCCTTATCAATATTTTTCTTTTGATGCTGTACTTCTACTCGAATAATAAAAATGCAGTGTGGGCCTAGCCTTGTTTGCGCTAATCGTGTCAGCACCTGGGAGGCTTAGGTTTCTTCCTGGGCCTTCTGACCATGGTGGGTACAGTTGTGTGCCTGCAGTCCTAGCTGATTAGGTAGCCATGGTGCAAGGACTGTGATGTGAGACTGTCAAGGATACCTGTTTATCTCCCCCTACCCCAGCCCCAGAAAGTGGGGAGAAAAATAATAACCTGGAATAACGGCTCTCTTGTGAAAGGAAGTTGCTACTTGGAGCTAAATGGAATTTTGAATCCCTAAACTGTGTCTCTGAATTACTGGCTATTGATCAAACGTCATTTCTAGTTTATTTACTAGTTTGAAGTTCTTTGTGTTAAAGTTAATGGGTGATTTTGTTGTCATGTGAGTGTAATTTATATATTCCCTTTATCAACAGGTAGTTGTGTCCACTAACATTGCAGAGACATCTTTAACAATAGACGGTGTGGTGTTTGTGATTGATCCTGGATTTGCAAAACAAAAGGTACATATTTTAGTGATTTAGTTGGATATTGTAAAAGAGGCATCCCTTCAGAGTAACATTGGCAGTCTTCCTGCTGTGTATCGATTTTTCTTTCTTTTTTTTTTTTTTAAGAATTATTTAATTTATTATTTAATTTTTCACCTTGATCAGAGAGAGGGGAAGTGAGAAAGCAAGCCGCCAGCACTGGGACTTGAACCTCATTCGGCCATGTGGGAGTCCAGCGCCTTAACCACCACACCACTTGCCAACCTCTCCCTCCCTCCCTTCCCCCCCTTCACACACACAACTTGGGAAAGCACTGTTACTTCTGTTTAACAGTGCTGGATATTGGTTTTCACAAATGAATTGTCTACTCAGTAAATAGTCTGTATATTTATTCTTCAAACCCCCTTTAGATGAGTTGATTATATGTTATAGGCCTTGTCACATTATTGGTAGAAAACTTTCCCCTTAAACTGAAATTACATAACTGTTGACTACTTACGGACTGGATTTAAAATGTTTTCTTGGAGTCCACTCTAAAGATCAGATATTAACCTTGCAAGTTCCTTTTCAGGCGAATTTCTTAACTGTCTAACATAAAATGGCAAGGTGCACAAGGTAAAATTGGTCGAACTTAAATTATTCTAAGTCAGGAAGAGTAAAGGTTATTAAGCCATCAATATGTTAAGTGAGAACTTCCTCATGTTAACTTCACTCTTTCAGAGTGATGGGATGAGGTGCCTGAAGAAGGCTTAGGATTAGAACTCTAATGTACAAGTTATAGTGGGTCATCAGTACTACTATGTGTAGGAGTGTTTTTGTTTTTGTTTTTTGAGAGGTTTTTGCGTGCACTCTCCAGAAAGAGACAGAAAGCGAGAAATCACCCCCCAGGGTGGATGGCCATGTCGCAATCCCTTCTCCTCCGTCATTGTCCTCTGGGGATCTGGGGCACACATGCACACGCGCCCGGCATGAGTTTAATCTACTGGGTCCAGGACTCGAACTGTGGTCGGCTACATGAGAGTTCAGCAACATAGCCATTACGCTAACTGCTGGTCCCTACTTTGTGGGGGGTTTTTTTGTTTGTTTTTTTCTTGGGTTTTTTTGTTTGTTTGTTTGTTTGCTATAGGGCGTGTGCGCTCTCCAGAAAGACAGAGTCAAAGAGACAGAAAGTGATAAATCACCCTCCTTGGTGGGGGGGTAGCCCAGCGCAATCCCTTCTCAGGATCTTGGGCGCACACGCACCCAGCATGAGTTTAAGCCACTGGAGTCTGGGAATTGAACCACAGTCGACTACATGGGAGTCCAGTGACGTAGCCCTTACATCATCTGCTGGTACTACTTTGTTTTGGAAGTAACTACAGGCTTTGGGTGTTTCTGTTGGATCGTAGTTTTGTGTTTAAAGAAAGATTCTTTTATTTGTTTTCACATTTCAAATAGGTATACAATCCACGAATCAGAGTTGAGTCCCTCTTGGTGACAAAAGTAAGATATCCTAGGCAAAAATACCGTTGAGGAATACCTGTTTCCCATTGTGTAAAAGGAAAAAATTATATATAGCATAATATTTCAAAATCTTTAACCAGTTTCCTAAAACACGTTTAAAATGCAGTAACGGGTAGGCATAGAAAAACAAGCTATCATATTAGTTGTTACTGTTTTAGACCTCATTTCTTGCCAATAAAACATGTATTGTTGCTTTGTGTGTAGTAACATACCGCATTCCTCTGAGACTGTACACTTTCCAAAACTACATTTTATTCTGACAGTCTGCCAGTTCTTATTGGATTGTAACTTGAGCTTTTTCTCTGTGTACCTTTTTATTTTAAATGCTGAGTTTTGGTGCTATAAATAGGAAGTTTTCCTTTGTAGATATTTTCCAAAAACATTGAAAGATATGCTTGTTTTATGACGTTTGAATGTGGGTTAAAGAGTGTTCCGTCTGAGACATCCTGTAACCTGCTTGTGTTGCCTTATCAATATTTTTCTTTTGATGCTGTACTTCTACTCGAATAATAAAAATGCAGTGTGGGCCTAGCCTTGTTTGCGCTAATCGTGTCAGCACCTGGGAGGCTTAGGTTTCTTCCTGGGCCTTCTGACCATGGTGGGTACAGTTGTGTGCCTGCAGTCCTAGCTGATTAGGTAGCCATGGTGCAAGGACTGTGATGTGAGACTGTCAAGGATACCTGTTTATCTCCCCCTACCCCAGCCCCAGAAAGTGGGGAGAAAAATAATAACCTGGAATAACGGCTCTCTTGTGAAAGGAAGTTGCTACTTGGAGCTAAATGGAATTTTGAATCCCTAAACTGTGTCTCTGAATTACTGGCTATTGATCAAACGTCATTTCTAGTTTATTTACTAGTTTGAAGTTCTTTGTGTTAAAGTTAATGGGTGATTTTGTTGTCATGTGAGTGTAATTTATATATTCCCTTTATCAACAGGTAGTTGTGTCCACTAACATTGCAGAGACATCTTTAACAATAGACGGTGTGGTGTTTGTGATTGATCCTGGATTTGCAAAACAAAAGGTACATATTTTAGTGATTTAGTTGGATATTGTAAAAGAGGCATCCCTTCAGAGTAACATTGGCAGTCTTCCTGCTGTGTATCGATTTTTCTTTCTTTTTTTTTTTTTTAAGAATTATTTAATTTATTATTTAATTTTTCACCTTGATCAGAGAGAGGGGAAGTGAGAAAGCAAGCCGCCAGCACTGGGACTTGAACCTCATTCGGCCATGTGGGAGTCCAGCGCCTTAACCACCACACCACTTGCCAACCTCTCCCTCCCTCCCTTCCCCCCCTTCACACACACAACTTGGGAAAGCACTGTTACTTCTGTTTAACAGTGCTGGATATTGGTTTTCACAAATGAATTGTCTACTCAGTAAATAGTCTGTATATTTATTCTTCAAACCCCCTTTAGATGAGTTGATTATATGTTATAGGCCTTGTCACATTATTGGTAGAAAACTTTCCCCTTAAACTGAAATTACATAACTGTTGACTACTTACGGACTGGATTTAAAATGTTTTCTTGGAGTCCACTCTAAAGATCAGATATTAACCTTGCAAGTTCCTTTTCAGGCGAATTTCTTAACTGTCTAACATAAAATGGCAAGGTGCACAAGGTAAAATTGGTCGAACTTAAATTATTCTAAGTCAGGAAGAGTAAAGGTTATTAAGCCATCAATATGTTAAGTGAGAACTTCCTCATGTTAACTTCACTCTTTCAGAGTGATGGGATGAGGTGCCTGAAGAAGGCTTAGGATTAGAACTCTAATGTACAAGTTATAGTGGGTCATCAGTACTACTATGTGTAGGAGTGTTTTTGTTTTTGTTTTTTGAGAGGTTTTTGCGTGCACTCTCCAGAAAGAGACAGAAAGCGAGAAATCACCCCCCAGGGTGGATGGCCATGTCGCAATCCCTTCTCCTCCGTCATTGTCCTCTGGGGATCTGGGGCACACATGCACACGCGCCCGGCATGAGTTTAATCTACTGGGTCCAGGACTCGAACTGTGGTCGGCTACATGAGAGTTCAGCAACATAGCCATTACGCTAACTGCTGGTCCCTACTTTGTGGGGGGTTTTTTTGTTTGTTTTTTTCTTGGGTTTTTTTGTTTGTTTGTTTGTTTGCTATAGGGCGTGTGCGCTCTCCAGAAAGACAGAGTCAAAGAGACAGAAAGTGATAAATCACCCTCCTTGGTGGGGGGGTAGCCCAGCGCAATCCCTTCTCAGGATCTTGGGCGCACACGCACCCAGCATGAGTTTAAGCCACTGGAGTCTGGGAATTGAACCACAGTCGACTACATGGGAGTCCAGTGACGTAGCCCTTACATCATCTGCTGGTACTACTTTGTTTTGGAAGTAACTACAGGCTTTGGGTGTTTCTGTTGGATCGTAGTTTTGTGTTTAAAGAAAGATTCTTTTATGTGTTTTCACATTTCAAATAGGTATACAATCCACGAATCAGAGTTGAGTCCCTCTTGGTGACAGCCATTAGTAAAGCTTCAGCTCAACAAAGGGCTGGTCGAGCTGGACGTACCAGACCAGGGAAGTGCTTCAGACTTTACACAGAGAAAGCTTATAAAACGGAAATGCAGGTATGGGCTGTCGCGTGTTCTTTCCATAGGCCTGGAAGGTTTACTTCAATTGTAAAGAAATACATAGTTTTTCTTCATCTTGCATTTTAGGACCATAGGGTTATTAGTTCTACCCTGAACAAAATGTAACCTACCAATGTAACTTGTTTTAGCAGTTCTAAGTCGAGTGGCCTGAAACACTTTAAACACTGGAAATGTTGGAGCAAAGTGTTTGCTTAGAGTAACCCCCACGTGTTTTGCTGTTCTGAGGCATTTACACAAAGTAAATGGTCAGGGAGGCAGGGGGCAGATAGGGGTCCTTTAGAGGAGCAAGATGATTAAGGAACATTCAACATGTTTTTGTTTTTGTTTACTAGGATAACACCTATCCTGAAATTTTGCGTTCTAATTTAGGATCAGTTGTATTACAGTTGAAGAAACTGGGTATTGATGATTTGGTCCATTTTGATTTTATGGATCCGCCAGGTATGACTTCGTTAGAGTATACTTTATCAGATCTTTTACCAGAATTGATTCTTAATTCTTCGCATTCTAGTTAGTATATGTTTTAATTATATTTTACTTTTTCTTTCCAGTATGCATCAAAATATATTTTCCATGAGCATGTACTTATTTTTTTCCTTCTGTTTTTACAAGTTATTTTGGGCATTGAGGGTAATTGAATCTTCTGGGCATAAAGATGTAGGGATTAAATTTCTTAAATTTTGTGGAGGGAATAATAAACACATTGGTGTTAAAAATTACTGGGAACCAGCACTTAGCGTAATGGCTATGTCACTGGACTCCCACGGAGTTGACCGCGGTTCACATCCCGGACCCGGTGGCTTAAAACTCACGCCGGGCGTGTGTGCGTGCGTGCCCAAGATCCCGAGAGGAGAATGGAGGAGAAGGGATTGCGGTGTGACCATCCCCCTTGGGGGGTGATTTCTCACTTTCTGTCTCTCTGTCTCTCTCTGTGTCTGGCGAGTGCACGCGCCCTATAGCAAAAAAAACTCTCCAAAAAAAAAATTACTTAATAGATTTAGGAGGAAGGCTTAATTACAGTAAAATTCTGTAATTTTGTATTAGTCATTGTTTCATAGATCTGTATAGTTAAACTTTATGACAATTCGAGTTTAAAATTAGGTCCATAGTAGAATGAGAAATGAGATTGCTTATAGTAGTGTGTCATAGTTTTGCTTGCTTACGGCAACTTGTCTAATAGATTGCCTTTTCCTCCAGCTCCTGAAACTCTGATGAGAGCCCTAGAACTTTTGAATTACCTGGCTGCTTTAAACGATGATGGAGATCTGACTGAATTGGGGTCCATGATGGCAGAGTTTCCTCTAGACCCACAGCTCGCTAAAATGGTTATTGCAAGTTGTGACTACAACTGTTCTAATGAGGTCCTATCTATTACTGCTATGTTGTCAGGTAATAGAGGGAAAGGAACTAAAAAACCCCACTCTTCAAAGTTTGGGTAGACTTCACTGTTTTCATTTTTTAATATTTAGTATGGTAGTGGATTTTATAGATGGCTTTAAGGAACTCACTTTGTTTTCTAAATTCTTTGTAAATAGCTTTTACAGAAGTAAAATAAGTCATGGGGCACAAAGCAGAGTAAAAGACTGGCTCTCTTGAGTGCAGATAACAATGACAATAAGTTAGGGCTCAATCGTAACTGAATTCTTTGGTAGGTCCATCAATGCTGTCTTCGCAGTGCAGTTTATTAACAAATAAACATGCAGGTAGAACTTTTAGTACTATTTAGACACTGTTAAATTCGCCTGTGAGTAATCGTACGTTTACGTTGAGCCTATTCCACCCGTATAAATGTATTCGAGAGTGGCAGTCAATCGTGAATTTCAAACTTAGCATCAATAAATAGAAGTAGTAGTATGTAATTTTAGGCTTAAAATCTAGTTGGTTAATAATAGTGTTTTACAACAGCAGTTAAAACACTGTAAAATAAATAAACATAATAGTCAACATTGGTATATTAAGCCAAGGAAATAGTGGGAGTTTTTTGTTTGTTTTTCTTTTTTTTTTGGTAGCAGGAGACTTCATTACAAATGAATAGTAACTTGAACATGAGATTTCCCCAGAAGGGGGAGAAGTATTGTTAAACAAAAGAAGTCTACATCAACAGTTCACATATTCTGTGCTACTTGTTTACTGCTGAGAAACTGACTTCCAATCAAAAGTAGCTTATTGGTCTTAATAACTAACTACTGCAAATAATTCCAAATGATCTATGGAAATAAAGGCTTAATTGTAAAATTTCTAAGCATAAACTATGGCTTAGTTTAGATGTATGGTATGTTCTAATGGTGTGAATTTTTTACTTAAGAACTAGCTAAAATGTTTTCTTGCAGTTATGACTGATCAGACTCAGAGCAGATGGGCAGGGCAGTATCGAGTCATTTTAATTAAATTGTAGTCTCATTTGCAGAGGTGGTGGTAGGTTGTTGTCTGCGTTTCCTATGTGTTGTTTTGTTAGATTTTCCCGGTTGTGCTTCTTCAGGATTGTAGTTCTAGGCAGTGTGGGGCAAGAGTTAACATTATTTGTATCCTTGCCTGTCCAGCTTTTATTCTTCTAGGTTCTCTTATTAGACATACTGTGGTCACCTTTGTTTGAGTTTAGAATGTTAGCTCTTTAAAATGTTGTCATTGTGATACAGTGGAAATCTCCCAGCTACATCTCCGTCTTGGTTATAGTAGGGCTTATGTACAACACAGGGCTTACTGGTGGTCATCCTCAGTACATGAAGAGAATACACATTTCTGTCAGCACTTTTTAAACAGGCTATCTGTGGGAAATGTGAAGAGTGAGGAAGAAGGCAAAGATCAAAAAAACAGTTTGCTGAGTTTGTAATACTTTTTTGCTATTTAAATAGATTCTGAAGTTTTGATGTCCCAATACAAACAGTGCAAATCAGGGACTTTATGGAGCACTCCTTTATTCATCTTCACTTAACCGTTGGTTAGTTTATATTAATGTTCTTAGCTGTGAGAAGTTTCTGTACCTTTGTGAATTGCCTTGCTTCACTTACATTAAGCAAGACTTTATCATTTCCTACTGTGACCATGTTGTGCTGTCCTCTTGGCTACTTCGGCATCTTTTTTAAAGGGGGAAACTGTATGGAAAAGTGTCATTTGATACTGTATTTGATCTCTGTGGATCCCATTATCTCTTCTCTGAACTGGTAATTTTTTTTTATTATTGACAAGGTTTTAAGAGCTTTAAAAATGTGTTGAATAAGTCCCAAGTTGTCAAGTATTTTTATTTTCATATTACTTTTGTGATTATGGAATTGCTAAAGTGAATTAAGGAAAGTTGTATTTCAAAAAATGTAGTGCACTCTTTGTAACAACTTCAAGTTTTATGTGAATTAATATTGAGGCTCTAAACAAATAACCGAAGTTACATATTTTGGTGACCCTTGAAATAATGACTTTAAGACTTATTGTCAATTTTTAAAATATTGGACTTTGCTTTTATATCGAGGTTTCAATTCAAATAAGGGCTTGTTTTTGTTTTTTTTTTAATCTTGGGACATCACTAATCTTTTTATTGAAATGCTGGAACACTAGACCAAATATCCTGGCCTTTTGAATTTTCTTAATTCAAAGGCAGGTTTAACCTTCCACCACTACTGCTGTCATTCAGACCCCAAGGTTTCCTGCTCTTTTTATGTTCACATGTATTTCTGCTCACCGGTGCTAATAGTGATACCCACCAGTTGGTAATAGCCGCAGCTTTAGGGAAATAATCCCAGTAGCAATACGGCAGTGGACGGTTGCAAAGTTGTTAGTAGCTCTGCAGTGAGCAAGTGCAGCTTCCTGCCTTTCACAGCATTTGGTGGATTCAGTGGAAGGCCTTTTGAAAAATTAGCTAAAAGGCTATCAATACCATAATTCTGGTTATTGGTAAAGCTATCAGCACTGGTTTTAGAAATAAGTTGAGTTTCTAGAATTGTGATGGCCTTCAGGATAGCTGTGTTCAGATCTAGCTAAAATGGCCAGGTACTCTTGTAGCTTTGAAGCCCTCTTGTCTTACACATGTGGTTAGGTGTTAGTGTGCCAAGTCAAGGTAGTAAACAGTCCGAGATGCAGGTGGAGGCCATCCTGCCCTGCCCTATGCTCTGTGAGCTGACCTAGCTAGGCCTTGTTCCTCTATCTGTGAATGCGTGACTCATCGATATGGGCGTTTGTGTTGGGCCCATACCAACCTTGTTTAGTCCCACAGTGTTTTGTTCGCCCCACGGAGGCCAAGAAAGCCGCAGATGAGGCCAAGATGAGATTTGCCCACATTGATGGAGATCATCTGACTCTGCTGAACGTCTACCATGCTTTTAAACAAAGTAAGTGTAAATTAGATTGAAGGCAGCCTTTTGTCTAAATGTCACTTGCAGCATATGAGATATTTCTTCATCTCCCTTTCATTTATTATCTATGACAGCTTTACATTAGAAACCCAGTGGTACTTTAGTAAAACTCCTGACTAGCATTTAAAATAGAAATTGCCAATCTTTTTCAAACTTGCTTATAACTGGGGGTGGGGAAACACCAGTTAGAGAAAGCCTGGGAAAGACAGGGTGATAGTAATGAAAGAATTGTATTAAACTTACCAATTACATATAAATTTTGATAGACTTTTTTTCAGATCAGTGATTCAGTAGTGGAGAAATAGTGTCCTTTGATAGTACATGTAAAAATTTAACTACTTAGACATAGGCCTTGTTTATTGAACATGAGATTCCAAACATCCTTGTAAACTTTAGCATTTGTATTTGAAAGCACGCTTATAAATTACCAAGAGACACATGTCATCATAAAACTAGCCTTTTTAGGTGGTACTGTGGTTCAGGCATAATTAAGGAACAACAATATGCAAAAATAGTTTGAATTCCACTTTTGTACCTTTTATATTGTAGTTGATTATCTTACTTAAGATCATGCTTTTTGGGACCAGCAGTTAGCATAATGGCTATGTCACTGAACTCCCATGTAGCTGACCGTGGTTCAAGTCCTGGACCCGGTGGCTGCTTAAACTCAGGTTGGGCACGTGTGCGTGCGTGCCCAAGATTCCGAAAGGAGAATAGAGGAGAAGGGATTGCAGCGTGGCCATCCCCCCTGGGGGTGGTTTCTCGCTTTCTATCTCTCTGTCTCTCTCTGCCTTTGTGGCAAGCACACATGTCCTATACCAAAAACCTCTCAACATAAACAAATAAGATCGTGCTTTTTTTTTGAAAACAAACAAGATATGGCATTTTACCAAATTCTTCCAACGTACCTGTGTCTATTAGACATTCTGTTAGAACAGCCAATGATTAAAATAATTCAAAATCACAGAGAACAGTTTATTCACAATCATTATTTTGAATCCAATAGCCAGAAACTTTACCACTGTTCTGGTTTTGAACCATACTTCAGATTTTAAGGAAAGTTGGTAATATTGCAGTTCATTTAAAGAAAATAAATCTTTCTGTTTTATTTAATTCACTGATTATAACGGTTTTCCTTTTGAATTAGGAAATATTCCTGTGTAGGTAATTCACGGTCCCCTTTTTCCTCTCCCCCCAACCTTTTAGATCACGAGTCAGTTCAGTGGTGTTACGACAACTTCATTAACTACCGGTCCCTGATGTCCGCGGACAATGTGCGCCAACAGCTCTCCCGGATTATGGACAGATTTAATTTGCCTCGCCGGAGTACTGATTTTACAAGCAGGGACTATTATATTAATATAAGAAAAGCTTTGGTTACTGGGTATTTCATGCAGGTATGTGAATAATACAGGAATGTGGAATTAAAAGCTCATATGGTACTGTTTTTTCAGTCATTTGAATTCATTTATACACAAAAGTGAATTTAATAGTGCTGATAGAAATTTATCATAAGTGTTAGTTAGGTCTAGTTACCCTGAAACAGATGTATTAAGGTACTTTATGTGTCTAAGTAACAAATTTACATAGCAGTAGACCAGTTATGTAGGAGTCAGTTTAGGCATGAATTTTTGGTTATTGTAGCCTTTGTTTCCCCGAATGAATCCTTGGCCGTTTTTGGTTGTGATTTGCACCTGTTTGTTCAGGAATGTAAATTTCAATCCTGTACTTTTGATAAATGTATTAAAGATGCTCTGAATCTAAATTTTAATTTTGAACATTGTCATAGCAGTCGTAAATGGAAGGCTATGCCCTTCAAAATTCTAATATTCAGATACCTAGATTTTATTCCCAGCTCTGCATAATATTCATTTGTATTTAAAACTAAGACCCTTGGGCACTACAAAGGCCAAAATGGCTTTTGTGTTAAGAAATAAAGATGAAGAATAAAAGGAGTGTAAAACAGAGGAATGATGTTTGAATAATAGAGAACTCGGGGGTGATAAAATTGAAAACAAACAGTTCATTACTTGGATTGGGATTGGTTCTTTTGTAATTGACTCTTCTGTCTCCTGCTTGTTCATTTTCTTTGTGTCTATTAAGCAAAATGTGTGGCTGGCTCTAAGGCCAGATAAGCTCACTAGATAAAATATAGGCAGTCATTTTCAGTGAAAAATCAAAGATCAGTGTCATATCTGTGTTTCAATTAAAGTAGTAGTAGCTGTTTATTGTAACAACTTATGATACAAGCTTAGGCGAATAATAGAGTTAGATCTGAAGATTCTTTTTTCATATTCTTAATTATATTTATACTGTTAATATATGTTTATCTGCTAGCATATGCTAACTTATTTACCTGCTCTAAATTTGCTTTAAATAATCCAAGAAAGACGGCTTTAAGTTTGCTTTGAATATTACCTAAGACCATATTTAAGCCTTATAGGTTTTTTTTTTAAAAAAAAAAAAAAAAAGGTTTTTGCTGTAGGGCGGGTGCGCTTTCCAGAAAGACAGAGACAGAAAGTGAAAAATCAACCCCCCAAAGGGAGATGGCCATGCCACAATCCCTTTTCCATTCTCCTCAAAGGATCATGGGTATGCATGCACATGCGGCCGGTGTGTATTTAAGCCACCCGGGTCCAGGATTAGAACTACGGTCGACTACATGGGAGTCCAGCAACATTGCTATTATGCCAACTGCTGGTCCCGCATTACAGCTTCTTAATTCTCATCCTAGATTAAAATTTGTTAGAGATAGCATGCAGTATATAGTATGTAGCACATAGTAGGTGCTTACTAAATACTGAATGAGACTGAGTTTATTTTCTGTTATTCATACATATTTATGCAGGGTCCTAGAAATGAAAAGGACTTATTTGCTTTGGTATATGATGATTATTATATGAGTGCCACCAACCAAAATATTTGATATTATAAGAATACACATATAACTTCTGTTTTTTCCCATTTAAAAAAAAAATCATTTCCTTCCCTGCCCGGAATGGTGCACATGTTCACCAAAAACATAGGAAGGGAGGGAAAATGAGAGCACACCCCCTCAGAGGGGATGGCATGCCATAATTTCTTCTCCATTTTCTTAGGATTTTGGCCTCATAACACAACATTCCTGGTTTGTTTTTCAGACTGCTCTGTCCTGGACTCAAACCTTGTAGTTGTCCATGTAGGATCTAGCCACCTTAATAACCACCTCGCCACTGGCTGATTCCTGTTTGATTTTTGCCTTACTGTATGAGAAAGAAATAAGTACTCCTGACAGGGTGTTCACCTTCGTGTCGTGATCCACCCCCAGCCTCAGCCAGCCTGGCTCACAAAATGTACGTGTGCACACCGTGTGCACACAGGCCTTGGGACGGGCACCCAGGCTCTTCGTGCGGGTCCAGTTACATTGCTGCGGCATTACCCTCTGACCCCTCAGTCATCTCTCTCTTCTCATTTACTGTCTTCAGTTTCTTTCTTTGCGTGAATATTCTAGTACCTGCTCACATGTTCCATTGCTGGTAACTGGCACTGAAGAGCCTAAAGCAGGAGGGGCCAGATAGTAATATGTTAGGCTGAGTGGACTCATTAGGTCCCTGACAAAGCTGCTAACTCTGTCACTAGTGTGACAAAAACTAGAGACTAATGGGTGTGTCTACCTTGCACTAAAACTATAGATACTGAAATTTCAGTTTCATGCAATTTTGCTGTTTCATCAAATAAGTGTACGTATATACGTATGTTCTCTGCATTTAAAAATGTATAAATCATTTTTGGCTCACAGGCTGTGAATTAGAGTTGACTCATAGGCCATAGTTTCCTGACCAGTCAGTGATGAATGAGTTATAGCCATAGAATAAAAAGCAAGTGATGGGGCCTCGCTGTCCCTAATTATATAGAAAGCGTTTCCCACTTTGTTTAAAGCTCACACTGGTAGCAGAGCACCATGGTGATTTGCTGGTTTTGTTCCAGGTGGCACACTTAGAGCGAACGGGACACTATCTCACTGTGAAAGATAACCAGGTGGTTCAGTTGCACCCCTCCACTGTTCTTGACCACAAGCCTGAATGGGTGCTGTATAACGAGTTTGTCCTAACGACAAAGAATTACATCCGGACGTGTACAGACATCAAGCCAGAATGGTAGGCATGCTTTTCATTCTCATAGTTGTAATTTTGTTCGGAATGGACTCTCCTTGTTGCAGCGTCCTGGATTCCCATTCACACCACGGGGAACTTGACTTTCTCCTCAGGTGGGATGCACCCCTCCGCAGTGAGTGAGTATAGGGAATGATCTGATGGTGTGATTGAGCTCTCATAGTCGTTTCCTCTGGCAAGAGGACAGTGGGGTTATTGACATGGGTGGGATTTAGTACCAGGTACCAGGTTAGGGTTGGGTTATACTCACAGTGAAGCCAGGGTCATTCTCTTGCTGTTGTTGATTATTTCCAGTCAGGACTGATCCCTGGCTCTAGAAATTTATCATCTTACATACATATTTCACGTGTCCCATTACAATTACTTCTCAACTGTTTGTTTATATATTGGTGTTTTAGGAGCAATATAAACATAAAATAAGTTTTGTGTCTTAGTTCGTTAGTTTTACAAAATGTGATCAGAACTGATTTATTTGCGACGCAATAACCTCTACTCCTGTGGTTTCTCTTTGGTTTGGGTTTGTATTGGCCAGAACTCATGTATACACTAGATGGGAAGCGCCATCCAGGAGCAGTTGATCTGAAAGCACTGCAGTGTCACCCGTCACTCGCCCTGTGTTAGTGCAGCTTCTCGCCTGTTCTCCTTCCAGGCTTTGCTTTTTTGGGGGGGGCGGGGGGAGAGGTTTTTGCTATAGGGCGCATGCACTCACCAGACAGACAGAGACACAGAGACAGAAAACGAGAAATCAGCCCCCAGGGGGGATGGTCACACCACAATCCATTCTCCTCTCGGGATCTTGGGCACGCACGCACACACGCCCGGCGTGAGTTTTAAGCCACTGGGTCCGGGGCGCAAACCGCGGTCAACTATGTTGGGAGTCCAGCGACATAGCCATTACGCTAACTGCTGGTTCCCTCCTTCCAGGCTTCTGACACTTAAATGAAGATACTACTACTCTATCTTAAATGCTCTGTTGAGAAAAAACTATGGCTAAACATTGTAAGCGATTTAAGTCAAATATATTTTTATAGCTACTAAAATGTTGAAAATAAGATGAATACTAGGGTGTTGTAAATAAAGCCTGCATTATTACCCTTACGGTGGTCAAAATAGTGTGTTAAGAAGAGAACAATGACCTTGTATTTTTTTTATCTTTGTATTAATGCAGAGCTTTTAAAAGAATATAACTTAAAAGTTTATGATGAGTCTAAATTTGGAAAATTGGAGAATTAACATCTTTTCAAAATATTTAGTACATTTGTAAAAGTGTGAGGATCAGGTCTCTGAATTTTTATCATCCACTTCGATTTGTATGTAGATTGGCCTTTATCAGTGTGTTGAATAATGCCTGTCCTGTTAGCAGCAACTCCAGCACTTTAGTTAATTTGGTCATTTTTCCTCTTTTTTGGACAGGTTGGTGAAAATTGCCCCTCAATATTATGACATGAGCAATTTCCCCCAGTGTGAAGCAAAGAGACAGTTGGACCGCATCATTGCCAAACTTCAATCCAAGGAATATTCACAGTACTGAATGCTTAGAACTGAAGTTATTCAGAGGACAGCTTTAAAAGATGAATGAACTCAAAAGTTCAAGTTGTGCTCTTCACGTTGGTTCAATAATGGCCTTTATTTGAAAGCTTTTTAATTTTTCTTTACAGTAAATATTCCATTCTGATTTCATAAATTAAACATTTATGCCTCCCTTTTGTGTTGACACTGTAGCTCATACTGGAAAAGTCGATCAATGTTTTGCAGTTTATTGAAAGTAGTTCTATATATAACAATGTTATAAGCATTTCTTTAGAAATGGTTGAAAATGCTTCTAAAATGTGATTATCGACCATGGTATGCATGATCGTTGTAATTGTTGACATTCCTTTTAGAAGTTGTGAAATGTTACAACTTGTGCTTATGTAGACACAATCTTCTGTCTCAGTACAGAGGCACTGACTTCAATAAAGTCTATTTATACTAATTTTGGCCAAAGCCCTTTGGTATCTTTGTTCTAGTCTCTAAATATAGCCTTTTCTTCTTCCCAAGTTGTGGGGCTTTTTCCCTTTTTATTAAAACTGTACTAGTATTGCATAGTATCTTTCTACAAGGAGTATTCCTTAGGTGAAGTAGTCACTAGAGCAATATTTTTAAGAGCATAGCTTAGCATTTTGCTAGGTAAATCATGATGTGATCTAATGGGATAAAGTGTGTAATGTTCCTTTGAAATTGGATCTCCTAAGACAGAATAATGGAACGTTTTTTTCCCCTCTTTTAAGTTCATTTCATAAAGCTGATAATTTAATTTATTATATTGTTACCACATTTTTGTCAAATCTTTTTATTATACTTAGGTGTAAACATTTTAAGCCTCTGAAACATGTTTTATTTGTATTCAGATATTGTATTGTGGATCTCAATCAATTTTGCTAAATTCTCAGTGTTGGAAATTTTTATGCAATATACAAAGTAACTCATATAAAGTGTTAAAAGGTTAAAATGTGAATTTGACCTTCCATTTTCTATAACAGGCGGTAGACAGGTCAGAAGCCCTATTGGAACCAAAATGAGGTATTTGATGTGGCCCATCAGAGATTCTGTAATAAATCTGTTCTCTCAGACTAAATACTGTACTCATTCATGCCTGAATCCCTCTACTTTTTCCTTCCCCCATTCTGTGTTAACAGAAACATGTAGTGTGTGTCATTTCGATTTAAATATACTTGGAAACATTTTCTAGTATATTACTTGGGAAGTTTGTTGAAAAAATTAAGCCATTCTAATGTTAGGTAGCTGTTACTAAATGATACCCCGTGGCTTTAAAAAGTTTATATTTTTGTTAGTACCTGATTTTGTTCCCACAGAATAAGCTTCATGCAGATTGTATTTATCCTACATCATGTATTGGCAACACTATTTGTTAAGAAAGTCTAGGTGGTTAGTGTTTTCACTATAAAAAGGCAGCTCTTGCCAAGAAAATGTGTCACCTTAATTTATGCCACAAGTGTAGTTTAGAAAACAAGTTCCCTTTCTTTATAATTTGATCGCCTATCCAATTTTAAGTAAGTCTTAGTGTGGTATAGTATTGTTTAATCCTAAGCTGTTTGAGATCTGCAGTTAGGCCATTAGATTTCTTATGGGGAAACTCTGAAGTTTGGTATTTGGCAGACTTTCCAGGAAGGAGGACGCTGTTTTCATTTCGCACGTGGTCCCTGTGCAGTCGAAATGGCCGCATAGAAGCTGCAGAGCCGGCCGATCTTTTATTCACCATCAAGATGTCTTCCCACCTTCTCCAGGTTTTAGGCCACATATGATCACAGCCGGGAGATTCTTACCACTGATGTTACTGATAAAGGTAACGACAAAACCTAGTGTTCTTCCAACCCTTTATTTTAGAAATTCGGAAATGTGTAGTACCAAGCTTGTTAAAATGTTTTAACCAAGATTGTTAAAAATTTCCTTGTTGATTTAGGGTTATGGCTATTACATAATCCCTTTGTGTGGTATAACATGAGAAGATTGAATTTTAAATTTTCCTCCATTAAGACTCAAAAAATCCTTTTGGAGGCTTATCTGAAGGGCATCCTTCCTCGTTTCTCAATTTTGCATGAGTGAGTTGCTTTTTGTTGTGAATATGGCTGAGAAAAGGACATCAGCAAGAGGAACCTGGCCTCAAAAAGTTGACGAAGTTAATGGAGCTTAGGAGCGAGGAGCTGAGATAACCCATGACCTATAATACTACAGGTACGTTTGGATTCTGACTATATAGCCAGAATCCAATCAAAAGAAAAAATTCACAGTTTTTAATGTGACATAAGGCAGTCTTACAAGGTTAGATTTATAAGTTAGCAACAGACACTTGGGAATAATTTTATTGCCCATTCTGGATCCTCACATACTTGAAGAAAAACAAGCCATTGTCTCTAAAGGCTGGTTAATAGTTCTGTTAGAAATGCTGAGCTAGGGGGAACCTGCAGTTAGCGTAATGGCTATGTTGCTGGACTCCCACATTGTCTACCGCGGTTCGCGTCCCGGACCCAGTGGCTTAAAACTCACTCCGGGCGCATGTGCATGCATGTTCAAGATCCTGAGAGGAGAATGGAGGAGAAGGGATTGCGGCATGACCATCCCCCCTGGGGGGGGTGATTTCTCACTTTCTGTCTCTATGTCTCTCTCTCTGTCTGGCGAGCGCTGCGCCCTATAGCAAAAACCTCTCTTAAAAAAAAAAAAAGAAATGCTGAGCTAGGGACTGGCAGATGACGTAATGATTATGTCACTGGACTCCCATACAGTTGGCCGTTGTTCGAGTCCTCGACCCAGTGGCTTAAAACTCACACTAGGTGTATGTACATGCATGCTCAAGATCCTGAGAGAATGAAGGAGAGAGGACTGCAGCATGGCCAACCCGCCTGCCCGGTGATTCCTTGCTCTCTGTCTTTACAGCAAGCACATGCACCCTGAAGCAAAAATCTCTCAAAAAATAGAAAGAAAGGAAGAAAAGAAATGCTGAGCTAGAAATGTTTCTCAGTAACTACTTGGTTCTAATTTTTCTTCTAGAGCATAGTTAGGTGTAAGACTGTTTTTAACTGCATGGTAACGCAGGAGTTCGGTATTTCCCCCTGCCATCCTCTGTAGGACGATCCCACACATCCTACACCTTCCCATCATCACCCGGCAGGCATTCTCTGGATGATGGGCAGTAGTGCGGACTGAGCTGGGCGCCCAGCAACTGAACGTGCATTTCCCCGTTACCAGACCTGTCATCAGTTCTGTTTATGCAGTCTAAGATAAACCTTCAGCAGCCACAGCACACTTGTGATTTATATTAATCTCCATTATAAATTTAGGGTGCCTAATTATTAAATAAGACTGTTAATCTGTGTGGCATAGGGCTGAATATAGACTGTCGCAGACCATGGGCAATGTTAATCATTGGAGACTTCACCCCACCATTCATTAAATAACATTTTAAAAAATTAAGAATTAGATATGATTGTCTAAATTATAAATGTTTTCTAACACTTCCAGAATTCTTAACAGTGAGAAGTTAACCTTCAGATTCTTTACAAATGTAGTTCTTATCAGTATTAAATTCTGAACTGAAGTTGACAGATTTGCTAGATATTTGTGTAAACATTAGTCTCAGTTTTGCCATTTCTTGGGTTAGGGAGTTGTTTTCTGGCGTCAGGTGTCTTTAATGTCCCCCTAAAAACCACTGTAGCAGTGAATAGAATGCCTGTGGCTAAGTGGTCATCTTGTTATGACAAGGCAAGCGTGGTTTTTCAGAAGTTAATGTAGGGACTTTGGTTCTATTGGTAGAGCAGATGGCTTGATTGTAGGAACTTTTCATATTTTGCTTGCTGTGAATTCTCTCTCCAGACTCTGGATAGTTGCTCTTTCTAGGCTATTTAAACTCAGCCTAGCAAAAGTGCCACTCTCTAGCCACCTCTTTGCCGAATTTTGCCCAAACTGCTGGATGGAGTTCATGTGTGGTTTGGTAGGGCTCTTAAAAGATTTTTTAAAGTTTTATGTGGACATATTTTACTGTGTTTGGAAAGGTGCCTTTTTTTTTTTTTTGGTAGACTCTGTAATTAACAGGCTAGTAAATTGAATCTGAAAACTTAAGTCATAAACAGGAAAGCCACATTTATATAACTTGGTAATTCTTAAAATACTTCTCCCTAACGTCAGTTTCATTCTACTTTTTATGGTATTTCTTCATAAAATTTATGTATAGCTTGATTAGTAGTACTGACCATTGTTCATTTTATTAAGCACTGGCTTTGGAAGGCATTGTGTGAGGCTATAAAGATAGATTGAGAAGTCAGAGACCTTCTCAAATTATGGCCGGGTTGGGATTTTTACAGTGTGTACTGAGATCTCTAATATAAAGCAGGGTATGATGCATCTGGTAGACTGGTGGTTAAAAAGGGATAGTTGCCAGGGGCCAGCCCTGTTGGTGGCTAAGGGAGCTGGAGCCCACTTGGTCCACCATGGTTATTCAGAATCTCGACCCAGCTCCTTAAAAAACCAGGCCAGGTACGTGCTGTGTGTCCCTGGAATTCCCAACAGGATATAGAAATGAAAGAGGAGATCGCGGTGTGACCGTGTTGCACTGGAAGAATGCTTTTTCCCCCTTTGTGTCTGTGGAGTGCATAGTTCTGGCAAGTCTTGGAGAGAGAGGTTAAATAAGTGTGTGGATTACATGGTAAGCATGTGGCATTAAAAACTGAGTGCTAAGATGAGCTCAAGTCTCTGGCTATAACTGGGTGCCATGTCAGAATGCCCAATGGTATATTTCAAGGCTAGAAATCTAAACTTCTATGTGAAATCTTCCCATTAAAATTTTAGGATTTTTTGAGTTGGATTCTGGGCAGCCGCTTATAACTCCTGGGGTAAGTAAACCGGAAAACTCTGGAGGCAGGTAGTATTTTAGATGGACCTCTAGCAATTAGAATTTGAGCAGAATGACGATTTTTTAGATATTTAACCCCTAAGAATCATGGCTCAATGAGAGTTTTAATTCTGCTCTATTGAGGATTACCTTTTGAAGTTTCCCCTGACCCTTGGTAGCTGCTACCCTTCCCTGTTGAGCTTGTGCTGCAAATTATAACAGAAATTCATGAGTGTGTGATTGCTAGGGTATATTTGTTTTTAGTGTAGTCTCAGATATGTCTAGTATAAGAGCACACTGGGATCTATTTTTTTTTAAATACTTAAAATTTTTCAATGCTTTATATTTGTCCTGTGTAATTATTATCTCCCAAGATTAACTACATTAATGAAAGAAACTTGTTGTAATTTGAAATGTTGTTTACATTTCATTTTCTTTTTGTTTACCTTTTTATATTTAAGAGAAGCTAGACTGATTACTTCTAAGGTATTTTCTAAGCTTTAAATATCCGAATCCATGCTTTCCTCCCTAGAGATAATTTAATCGCCTTAGAGAAACATGGAGGCATTTCCACGAAAAGTGCTGACTACTTCAGCCGTGTCTCCCTGCAGAGATGGATAACTGACCGATCAGAACATGCACGTCAACTTGGTAAACGTTGCTTAGTCAGGGATAAAGATAATCTGTAAAGTCTGAATATCCTCATCTTTGTTGTGTTACCACAAAGAAATGTAATGTTAGGTATGATTTGGTGTAAGCAACTTTTAAACAGTACAGATAGATCTTAGTTATAGTCATGTTTTGTTCTGTTTTAAAGAACTATTTTATTTTGTTTATTTTTCATTTTGATAAGGGGTGGGGCAGTGAGAAAGCGAGCCACCAGGTCTGGGACTCCAGCCGTGTTCCACCATGTGGGAGTCCAGCGTCTTAACCCCACCATGCTACCTCTGGCCGCTGTAGTCATCTCTTAGCCAGGAAACAGTGGATCGAGGCAAATAGAGAAAATGATAGGCATCTTCAGTCTTGTAAACTAAATTTATAGGCAGACGTTGAAGACTTAGAATAGTTAAGAAGTCATTAGTCTTAGCCCCTTGCAGATGTAGGAGTAAACAGTTATAAAATGACATGTAAAGCTACATTTCAAATTGCCAAAAGTCGCACTAATTTTGGGAAGTAATGATGACACAGAAATGCTAGATATATGATATTAAGACTTTTTAAGTAAATATCAG